ATTTTTCTTCTGGGTAAAGTCTTATTTGTTTTTTTTTTTCAGCTACAATAAAAGCAAGTGTTTAGTTCTTAAGCAGTAAGTTATGCAGATATAAATTGTAACACACTATATCAGTTACAACATAAGGCCGTAGAAGATTTCTTTCATCCATATTTGAAATTTAGTGTCATAAAAGTAATTTCAAACAAAAAGAAAACAACTTACTTGCGAATGGCTCACATGTTTTGATTATTTTTCATTTATGACAATGTGAACTTAAATCTGACTTTATGTGTGAAAAAGGCTGAATACAATGTAGAGATCAGTTTAAAATGAATAACAATAAGCTGTGTCTTCAGACTGAGAATCATGAATAATGCTGCTGAAGATCAACAGGTTTCTCTCACTTGTCGAATGTCTTCTTTCAGGCAAAGATCCTGCTTTTTCTATCATTCAGCATGTTTAGTGAGATCCAGAAGTAGATTCCATTGTTTTGTCATTGCTGATTGTGGAGGAAGCTCCTACAAGAAGCTTGAGGTTGATTCAGAATGGCTGGCCATCTTAAAAGCGACAGACAACATTCAAAAACCATTCGCCAGTTTCTGGAACCCTCTGTTGGACAACACAGCAGACACAAAACACATCACATTGATTTACTAATAGATTTCTGATACTACCGTACTCTTTTCACAAGCCTGTTATGACGTGTTTAGCGGTCTTCGGCATCTGAAATCCTTGAAAGTTTTTAACATTTAGATTTTTTTAAAAAACATTTGAACATTTATATGTGTTTATGAATGTATCATATCATCTTGCTTTCGAATTACAAAAATTATTTACCGCTTGTGCGATGTGTTTCCAATGCAACGTCTAGGAGGCTGAGAGTAAATTTAACGTTATTCTCTCCTCTGGCTGCTGTCATCCATCCCACACTAGTTTTTTTCCTTTTCTGAAAGTCTTTATAACACCATTGTGGAGTTTTTTTTATTATTATTTTATTAAGTTATTTGTTGTACTCACTCTCCCATTCACTGTGCTCTAAGTTTTCCTTACTATGACTAAAATCTGAAATGGCTCTATTGACAACATTGGCTTAAAGAAATAGTACACCCAAAAATGAAAATTACCCCGACATTTACATACAGTATACCCTCAATTCAGACTCGAGTGTATAAATATTTATAGGCCATTTTAGGTGACCTATTTCTTTAACTCGTTCATCCCAGTAGATTCAACACATTTACATGACATGATGCGCAATAAAATAAGGTCAAATTACTGTATTCATCTGAACTGAGGTCACGATAGTCAGTACTTTGCACATGAATTTATTTCTATTTCTAAGTAGTTTAGCATCCTGTTCCTCTGCTTCTTTCAGGTGGGACTGCAGTCCTTCAGACAGTCATCTACATCCTGGTGGGCAGAGCGGACAGACTTACAGGGAGAAGATTTTCAGCTTTCTTTGATAACTAGAAATTTCAGAACTGCATTTATCAGAATTAAAAATACAAGACATTTTACATGACATTTAAATGACATTTGCTTAAGTTAAAGTATCCTTGTTAAATAAAACTGTTCATTTAAAAAAAAAAAGAAAAGAAAAAAAGTCAATAATTCTTCTTGCTCCAAGCTATTTAGTAATATAACACTCAAAAAAATCAACTAGGCATGTATTGGATTTACAAAATAAAAACTTGTCAGATTGAAAAGAACAAATCAAATTTACGTATGTTAAATGATTAATTCATGTTATTTGAAACTAAATCAAGAAATAATCAAATGAATTTGATCAGAACATGTTGATTCAATGAGACTGAGACGCTTCAAATCGACAACTCTCACTCTGGAGAGTCACTTCGCGCATATCAGTAGGTGGCGGTAGTGCGTTTGGATGTCACCATAGGAAAACAACAAGAAGAAGTATCACCGCGTGTTTTCAGCACAGTTTAAAAATTGGTTTTCCCAAGAGCTTGAATGTTATGCATGTTATGTTGTTGGCTATATGTTTCCTATACATTTTATATTACATATTACAATTTTGGATATTATATAACATTATAACATTTGTATCAGAATATTAAAGAAGAAATATGTTTAAATGTGATTGGTGCCTATAAGGCTATAATAAAAGATATATATATATATATATATATATATATATATATATATATATATATATATATATATATATATATATATATATATAAACATGTTTTCTGTCCTTTATGTGTTGAATTACTTAATTTGAAATCTTGCTTCATAGTATTGTCATTTAAAAAATGTAATTTAAACAACAGGTCGAGGCAGTGGTGCAGTGAGTAGCACGTTCGCCTCACAGCAAGAAGGTCGCTGGTTCGAACCTTGGCTCAGTGGAGTTTGCATGTTCTCCCTGCCTTCGCGTGGGTTTCCTCCGGGTACTCCGGTTTCCCCCACAGTCCAAAGACATGTGGTACAGGTGAATTGGGTAAGTTAAATTGTCCATAGTGTATGAGTGTGTGAATGTTTCCCAGATGCGTTGCGGCTGGAAGGGCATCTGCTGCGTAAAAAACTTGCTGGATAAGTTGGTGGTTCATTCCGCTGTGGCGACCCCTGATTAATAAAGGGACTAAGCCGACAAGAAAATGAATGAATTTAAACAACAATATTGCTGATTACTAGCTGATTTAACAAGACATAATTTTGTTAAAGTAAAGCTTTAGTAATACATTGAGTAAATTAGAATCATTTTAATTAGAATAACACAATACAAACATTTTGAGTCAATTAGTTGCAAAGAAGTTAGACTGACATATTGAAACCATGTTTTATCTACAAATGTGCTTTGTGTTCATACAACATGTTCAAAGCAGTTCAGGTTTACTTGATTGGATTAGATGCATAAAGGGTGCCACGATTAAATCATGTCCATTCAACAATTTTTTTCTTTTTTGAGTGAATGCTACAAAGGCTTTTTTTATTTCAGGTTTATCAGCTATTTGAATATTTTGATCATCAAAGAATCCCAAAAAAATAAATAAATAAACAAATGCTAATAAATATTGATAATAATAGTAATGATAATAATAATTAGACTGTTTTTGCTGTGCTTTGGAGCAAATGCAGGTTTGGCGAGCAGAAGAGACTTTTTTAAAAAGTTAGCTTAATAGATAGTGGGTTTTTTTCTATGAAAAATTGATTATCAAAATAAAAAAATAATAGATTTTAATAATTTTAGATATTGTACATTTCTTTGGTAATTTGTCATTATTATTGTTTTATTTTGTAAATTAGAAGCACAGTATAGTATAGTATCAGGATTTCAAACATGCTCATTTTAGTCAACACAATACTAATGTTTTACAGTAGCTTTATAGGAATTACAGTAAGTAGTCAGTTTACTAACCTTGATTTTCAGTCTCAGTTCATTTTTCTGACAGTGGCTATTTTCTGATTAAAAATGGTCTAAATGACAATATTTTTATTTTAAATGTTGAAGAAATGTTATCAGACCTTATAGAATAAAATGCATATTAACATTTAACTTAAACTCATAAATCCAGAGAAAGTCCTTCGTCTCTTATTTCTTCTGCCACAACTGTATTTAAATGGGATTATTATTAATATAAATAAAGACCATTCATTATCAGCATCATTAAATATAACATTAAACCAAAATACTAAATAAAACAAATGTAATTAAAAATAAATTTATAAATAAACACTAAGCAAATATTTTGGGTTAAAGGGGTATATTTTGTATAAATATTTATATTGATAATAGTCTCACATCAATAACTATAAATTATTTAACTAATTACACTAGTGCTTAATTAAGATACATTAATAGTTACCAGATAAATACTCTTTAAAAATGTTATTTTCTTTATTGATGTTTAAAACTCTGGGTGTGCGACACAGCAAAAACAGTGATTTTGACCCCTATAAAAGGAGGTTGAATAATATGAAAAAAATATATAATAGAAAGCTGGTAAATTTCTTATAAATAAGTTGTATTGTTAGGTTGACAAAGAAAAAGGAATTTGATCAAAATTATATATATTTTTGGATATATGATCAAAGGACTTTAAAGTACCCGTAGTTGAAGAATTGCCCAGTTATGGATATTAAGGACACAATGTACACAAACATGCAAGTATATAGATGGATGGATAGATAGAAATAATGCAGGTAATTAAAACAATATAAAAACGGTATGAACTGTGAAAAATACGGCTATCGTTCAATTGCTAGTCTTATATATAGCATAATAAATCGTACCCTCAAAATAATTTACAGTATGTAACTCGAAATGTAGAATTTGAAGCTCTTCTCTTCTTTGCTGTGACAGCTCTCTGTCTCATTATTGTCCTTAGGCAATCCAAGGAAACACTAAGTGATATATATCATCCTCTCCTGAGCCATCCACATATAGTGATTGCCATGCGGCACAAGAAGTAAGCATGCGAGCTAAGCACAAACGTGGAAGCTATCATGCATAGAGTCAAAATGGATAACCAGATCAGTTCAAGACAGGTCAGTGACACAGAAATGTTTCAAAATCCACTAATGCACAGACCAATATACAAATCCACAGAGCTACCCACAAATGTATAGGACACAATTCACATATAAATGACAGTTAAAATTATGTTTGTAGAATAAAAAATCAATGTATGTTTTTTATTTGCAAGTCTAATTTTACTTATTTGTGTATGTAAGTATATAAGTAGCCTATAACATGTTTGTGGAACATTTATTTATGGATCGCATTCTATTTGTTTTGTGAATATTTTTGGCTTATGTCAATCGTTTTACATTTGTGGATCATAATAAATTTATTTGGAATTACAAAACAATTATGAATTATTCTTGTAAATGAATTCCAATTTATTTTTGAGACTGATCTGGCTCCATATCACGGGAGGGGTGCGTTTCTCCGTTTCTCATCGGCACAACACCGGACCCATTCTTTTTACTCCATCATAGTAGGTGGCGATATGCATCTTAAAGCTAGTTTGTAACCCACCAAGAGAAGAAGAAGCGGAACACCAAAGTCCGCCATCCGCCAAAAAACACAGAAGAAGAAGAAGAAGTGGAGCTGTGTGTCTACAAAGAAGAAACGCATTAATATGGTGTTTTAGTAATATTTGGGTGATTTTTATATCATATTAACGTACACGTCAAACAGTTTATTGTGTTTACCGGGGTTTTCCTATTTATTCAAACGTAAGCAGGTGAGTGATAAAATCAGAGTGCATAAAAACGTTTCTGCTTGTTTTTGCGGTGTAATTGTCTCGACAAAAGACTAACGTTAGCAGATCTGACCCATTTAAATTAGCTCGAGTGTTATTTTAGCAAGTAATTACTGGGGTATTTAACGTTATTAATATCAAATCATTGGTCCATGGAAACTAACGTTGCAAAAAAAATAAATATATATTGCGATTAAACATGGAACTACTACTTATAACGTTGCAAGTTTTGTTTTTTGTCAACCTAGAATAGCTTCGATGGTGGGGATTTTAAATATATATATATATATATATATATATATATATATATATATATATATATTACACTGTAATATATATATATATATATATATATATATATATATATATTACACTGAAAAATATTTGTTTACTCTATTACTATTTTCTGCAGGTTGTAATGAGTGCTGAGGCTGCAGACAGGGAGGCAGTGAGTGGCAGTCGACCCTGCACCCCTCCACAGACATCCTGGTTTGAGTTTCTGCTTAATCCATCATTACTGGAACAGCACCTACATAGCCCTCATCCAGGTATTTTATGCACTTAACTTGCTACATGTTGGACTCCCAAATGAACTCTATATAAAAAAGGTCAATTTACTACTCCCCTAGAGTTAAACAATTAAGTTTAATAATTTAAACAATCTATTCAGCTAATCTTGGGGTCTGATGGGAATACTTGTAGATTTAGCTTAACACGGATCATTGAATCAAATTAGATTCTCTTGCTCTAATATGACCAAAATGTTTCTTTTGTTATCGTAGTTATTATGCTGAGTTCTAAAATTGTTAAAAGCCGATAAATCCATCCAGAGAATTTTTAGAAAGGCTCATAATAAGGCGTAAATGGTATTTAACAAGGTATTAGGTTTTGTATAATTTTGTATTATTTAATGTATATTTGTATACTATAAGGTTGTTTTTACACTACCTTATTGATGATGCAAAATTTTGATGGACGGCAGAAAATGATTCTTCTACATAGAACAGAAAAATGTTTATATTTTATGTTGTTTGTAATTGTTTAAATTGGCAAAAATGAGAAATTAAGCTTTCCAAAGGTTTTTGCTCATATAGTCTATACCCCATGTCTAATACCCCAGTTTGTTGCAGGGGCATGAATAAAATGTTAATGAGTGAAAATGGAACTTTCAAACTGCAATTTGTCCCCCAAAATTACAGAAAGCACTTCACTGTAAAAAAGCGTACCGAACTGAACCATACCATAACACATTTTCAGCACCCTTTCTAAAGGGTACCAAACATGTGAAAGAGTCCCACAAGGTGGAGCTACACATGCAGCTGAACCCTGATTGGTTACAGAGATACGTCACGAGCTCGTTGTGCTAGACAGAATGAAAACAAAGGAACTGCCATGTTTTAATACACATCCGATACATTACATTGAAATTCTTTATGCATATAATTACAAGCTATGGACGACCCGAGCTAAAACAAACCTTGTTATTCTCTTGATGAACAGCCACAAAGCCAAGAAGAAAAATCTGCCATGTCCCGTTGTTGCTTTACGAGCCCGTCTAAAAGTGCCAGCGGTTTTCGCTTTCTTTCGGGAGCTCGCGATCGCATCTAAGTTATATTTGATTTAACGAACTTCAAGAGCTGTTGATAATAACATGTGCGTGATTATTGAAGTGTCTTCGACATCCGATCCATTCGGAAAAAAAGGACAAACGCGAGATTGAAGCATGAAAAAAAAGAGAAGCCAGACAAAACACAGGATCGAAATTGTTTCAGCAATTTGAATCACAAACAAACTGCCGTGTTTATCTCGGCCTTTTGGACTATTATGAACTGGGAATGACAGAATTACTTTCTAACAGATTTTACGTGTGCTGGTGAAGATTACAGACACAGATGAGAGGTTTGTGCTGACTGTGCGATATATTGCGTGTTTTTGAACTCAAATAAGGACAAAATGTCTTCTGTGTGTAGTTTTTTTTGTAGTTGGTAACGCATCGGAGACTGTAAGGGTCATTTATTTAACTATTTTATATAATTGCAGACGTTACAGTAGGCTATGTTGCACTGTCATTGATTGGCAGTTATAATCAACTCATGTTTACAGAAAAGTTAGTAATAAACATTTATAAACAGATATTTACGTGTATAAAGCATCTGATTTGAGTAGTGCTTCTTAAATGATTTGTGAACGACCTGTACAGCTTTACTGTTGACATTAATTCGAGCGAGAATGACGTCGACTGAAACTCTCTGTTGTACACCACACCCACCAAAAGGGTACCCTTGGTAGCGAAAACGCATGACTGATAAAGGTGACCCGTACAGACCCGTACCGTACTGTACCAGTCAGTGGAAACGAGCCATAGGGCAAATAACTAGATTAGAGTAGTTCATGTAAACGTAGTCAGTAGTGTCTTCAAAGTAAGTGAAAGATTCAGAAGGGCACTTTTTTGCCAGACAGCTCACCAACAGTAAGGTATACATCCACACTGAAATATCAAGGCCAATACTGCCATTGCCATAGACTAAGGGTTGTATACATTTGTAAATGCTGTTATATGTTTGCTATTTACGTTTATGTTTTGTTTTTCCGGAAGATATCAGTGGCTGAATAACAGTTCTGTGCATATAACCCATTCGTAACAACAAAATCTACATCAGCTTTGCGTGACTAAAATTGTTTTGAAAAACATTAACATTACTGTCTAACAGAAATACTTCAGCCTTGGTGTCATCCTTCCTCCAGCATGTAAAGGTAAATCCAATATTGATTTACGGTTTTAAAAAGTTTTGATCCAGCATTTATTTTACCACGACTGTGATTGTCTTGTGTGCACATGAACAAGTGGTGGCTCTGCGTTAACAAAGATGCGCGTTGTACAAATCTACATTTGTTGACAGACAGTTTGGGCTACTTTTCAGAGTTATGGGAAACGTCAGCTTGACAGTATTTAATTGGATGAACTTTTTTATTTTGTTTTATGCCTTACCCAGAATATAAAAATCCATACAAATATATTTAGATAATTTGCTTTAATCATTTCTGTTTGAATGTGAGGAGACTTTCAACCAGCACAACAAAAATTGTTTCTGAAGACAATCACCTACTGATTACTGAAAATTTGTTTTACTTTTTAAAATGGTTCTACTCTGTTTCAGCTGACAGCAAACACAGAGTGTTTATTAGTAAATAATATTTTGAAAGAAAAAAGTAGTATCAGTATTGTGATATGTAATTTAGGTATCATATCAAAGTCAAAATATTGGTATCGGGCAACCCTAGTCCCTATATTGTTTACCATGCTACTTTGAATATTCAGTCTGCAATAGCATGCAAAGGATGGCTTATTATTAGGTGCTATTCCTGCACTCTGCCAGCCAAGCACTAAGCATACAGTAGTCGATTTTATGGTTTGGTATCGTATTTCGATACTGGTGCTTTTTTGATACTTTTTAAAACGGTACTGCTGCCAAAACAGTGCCTTAGTTGATACGTTTTAGCCACAAAATTATTTGACAAAAATATATTTTAATCATTATAATTGAACAATATAAATAGATATTTATAATAAGTTTAAAGTAAACCAATTTATATTTTGTATATTTGAATTGCAATAATATAGTTCTTTTGATCATTTGTTTGCATTATATTATTAACATTACATTAGCTTACTACTAACCCTGTGGAAAGTAGGCTTGGGCGGTATCCAAATATTGATACTGTCAAACCGCCTCCATATTTTACCCCGGTATCCGGTATTACCGACGTAATAAAAAAAGATTATGACGTAAGGCTCAGACAGCGTCACCAAAATGTTGGCTTGAGCCTAAACCATTCAGAAACTGAATACATTCTATGCGACCTTAGGCTTGCGGTCAGAGAGAGAGAGACAGAGAGAGAGAGAGAGAGCGCGCGCCAAGCGATGCACAGCATCTCTCCCTCCCTCCCTCTCTCTCTCTCTCTCTCTCTCTTACACATACACACACTCATCTCTCCCGCGATTTATTTAGAAATTTACTCCCACACTGTAAAAAATCTGGCCGGCTCCTGCGGAACAGCAGCGGGAATGCAGAGAGCTCTAATAGGGGCATAAAAATAATATCCGATAGGTCCAGAGTACATTTTGATTGACAGCTTTATAAAGACCAAACCAGTTTACAGCCCGACATTATTAAAATGTGCTCATGCACACAGCTCTAAAGCATTTTTTCAAGAATGAGTCATTTATATGTTTTAACATCATTTATTCGTAACAAACGTAGACTATAGGCCACTTGGAAGTTGGAACAAAGAAATAAAATAAGTCCTCTGTAACATCGTAACATCTCAGCACTCTATAGGTCTAGGTACATGCACTTAGCCTTTAAATTGGCTAACACACCAATGAAAAGAAATATTGCCCATACAAATCAAATTAAAATAAACTCTAAATGATGACGGGTAATTTGGCAATAACGAAATTAAGATAAAGCCTCTGCAAGATTTGTTTCTCCACTTCTCTTACCAATCTGGCATTAGGGCGGCGGTAAAGCTGAATATTAAAAGAATAATGCCACCATTAGTATGTATACTTTGTCTAAATTATGATTATATGGTTTAATTAATATTTATTTATAATTTAAAAACCCTTTACTCGCCAAGATTAGGCTACGTGTGTTTGTGGAGGAACACTATTAAATCTACTGGCTTTGGCGCCGTCTCTCACTCATGGTGCATCCAGCAGAACTGAACACCCTTTCCTGCGGCTACAGGTCGAGATGCAAAGTTCTGATCTGGCTGATTTTGCAAGTTTTGGGTAGGATTGTTTGTTCATATTCTACCAGTCAGGAACATCCATTTAATTTTCCATGACAGCAGTTTCAGTGTAGCAAATGGCCTCGTCTTTTTACCTGTCAGCTTGCGGTTTAGGGCTCTACCGTAATACGCAGTGTATGAGCGACCGCTGAAATACCTGCGGCTGGAATAACCGCTCTTTCTGAGCTAGTCACTGGCTTGACCGCCGTCAAAATTCGCTTTTTTACTACTTCATCATCAATTGTTTCTCCTTTGCAGGGATGGATTTTAATGCAGGGATTTGGATTTTTTCAGGTCTCGCCGGGTTCGGGCAAAGATCTTCAGCTCTAATGCAGACCTCTCGTTCATATTAACCACGTCTCCCTTTTGTTCAGTCGAAACTGCCAAACTGCAGGACACTTTAAAGCGCGACTCGTCACGTCACCTCACCTCACCCTGTCCACCCCCCCCCTCTTCCCCTCCCTCTGCCTTTCTCCCCCTCCCTCTCCCCCTCTTCCCCTCCTTCTCCCTCTCTCCCCCTCTTCCCCTCCCTCTTCCTCTCTCTCTCTCCTCCACACTGTCCCGTGATGACAACCACACATACGTTTTTGTAGGCATTAAATAAAGGATATTTAATATTTTATGACGATATAACGGTATTGAAACTGACACGGTTGCTATTTTTAGATCCCGCGGTATACCATAATACCGTAATACCGCCCAAGCCTAGTAGAAAGGCTGTCATTAAAATCAGGGAACACATTTTTTCTGGGTTTATGGCTTGTGACTACTTTTACATGGACATCAGTGATCTAATGATTTGCCTTAATCTGAATAAGATAATAATAGGATTCAAGTGTTTACATGAGTTGCTTTTTGAATGTTACATTCATGATTCCCAGTTACATGTTATAGCACATAGATCCATCAATGTCATTGAATCACCAGCCTACAAATGTTTCCTCCGCAGTTTGTGCCTGTGGTCCCTTAAGATATTCAAAAATCATTGTTTACGTGGTAGACTCCTAACCAGAGAATCATATTAAAATCTGAGTATTGGTGTCCATGTAAACATACTCTCTGAAAGTGCCAGATGATGTCACAAGGTGTCGATTCCTCACTTTTAAGTTGATTCCATGAGCCCTCAAATTACATAAGTTTGACGTGTTTTGTTTTCAGCGACAGGTTTCAGCCACTGTTTAAACTTGACTTTCTCCAACCAGGAGTATGCAAACTTGCATTATCCCATGTTTAGCTTTATGGCAGGGCTATTCAATTAGTTTGTCATGTGATCCAGTTCATGAAAAGCATCCCAAATGAGGGGCCGGAGAGATATGACTTGAAATATAAGTGATGACACAACAGCTTATATGCCCATATGCTGTATTTTTTCTCCTTAAGACACCCACGTTGAAGGCCGAATAATGCAGGGATTTGATAAAATAATAAAAGGCCGAAGTATCACTAAGCTCTGATGTTAAAGGTTCTGCTATTATTATACTGGATAATTATTGCTGAATAAACAATACAGTTGCATAGTTTAAATGACCTACCTTTTTCTAATTTGCAATATTTGATATTCGTCTGCGCAGTTGGCAATCTCACATGGAAATGCTCGAGAGAAGCGTGTTAAGTATAAAAGCCTTCACCATTTTAGGCTGTGCGCGAGCACTAAGCGGAGGCTTGGGCTAAGCGCACACACAATGCTCGCGACACAGACTCGCACGCACACACCGGTTGCATTTCCAGAGCGAATATCGTTTATACCTGTTGCAACAAACGCAACAAGTTTGGCTAAGCATCTTTTAAAAGTGCGTTAACTGCAGAAAGACGAATAAAAGGCTTTCGACTGCCTAGCTAAAGGAACATCATCACATAAGGTCTCTCTAAATGATTAATAAACACACACATTCGGTACATTGAAAAGAAGTTTTTTTTTTCTGCAGTAGCCTAAATAAATCTTTTACATTAAAAATGCTTTTACATTACTGTAATTACAAAAATAGCCTATGAATAGCCAAATGATACAGTGGTTCCCAACCTTTTTCTTAGGCCCCCCCCATGAACATATACAAACATTGGAGTCCCCCCCACCATTTAAAAACACACGCACGCACACCCATATGTACTATATATATATATATATATATATATATATATATATATATATATATATATATATATATATATATATATATATATATACTGTGTGTGTGTTTGTGTAATATATAATATGTATAGAAAATTTAAATTAATCAGTTTTACCTTGTCTTGGCCTTCAATAAAACCAAAATTTAGGTAGGCTTTGTCATACTGTCTAATCTTTTTCTTCGCCTCTGAAAAATCACTGCATTTACGTTTCTCTGCCGAATTTTTTTTTTTTTTTTTGATTTTGCCTTTACGACACGTTGACAAGCACATTGCGTGAGTGAGCAAAATTTAAATAATTATTTAAAGTTATTTATTTTAATTACTTTTACTATTATGTTGGAATTTTAAGCATGTGTTTTGATATATATATATATATATATATATATATATATATATATATATATATTTGGTACTTAAAAATACATATTTAATAGTAGGGCTGCTCGATTTTGGGAAAAATCATAATCACGATTATTTTGGTCATAATTGTAATCACGATTATTCAAAACGATTATCAGTTAAAGTCAATATTATTAACGCTCCTGAGAATTTTTTTTTTTTTTTAATAAATATTTCCCAAATTATGTTTAACAGAACAAGGAATTTTACCAGCTTATTTGTTTTATTTTAGCTAGAATAAAACCAGGTTTAAATATTTTGAAACCAATTTAAGGTCAATATTATTAGCCCCCTTAAGCAATAAATATTTTTGATTGTCTGCAGAAGAAACTACTGTTATACAATGACTTGCCTTATTACCCTAATTAAGCCTTTAAATTGCACTTTAATCTGAATGCTTGTATTTTGAAAAATATCAAGTAAAATATTATGTACTGTCATCATAGCAAAGATAAAAGAAATCAGTAATTAGAAATGAGATATTAAAACTATTATGTTCAGAAATAAGTAAAAAAAAAAAAAAGGGTTGCTAATATTCAGGAGGGCTAATAATTCTGACTTCAAGTGTTTACATACAGTTATTTTCCACCCTGCAAAGGAAAGAGAAATAAATACAATAGAACAAAAATATTAAAAAAAAAAACTGTGCTTTAAGCATCTTCACTGTAAGAAAACACTTTAGCTACAGCAGTCCTTTAGTCAAGACTAGTGAGGGATTTTCTCATTGTTTGATTAATAATCATAAAAACAGGCGGCAGCAGGAATATTTCTCGCTCTCTTTGGTTTCTCTTTCACATGTGTTTTGATCCTCAATTCGTTTGTTTATTACGCAAATGAGGGTTAATATAAATAATCACTAAACACCGCGTTTTGACACCTATTTGACCATTAAAGCGCTCACGTTAATGACTTTAGATGTCTGCGCTCCTCTGCTCGTCTCAGTGTGCGAATGAGAGCGAATGCTGACCGGCCGCATGCTTCTGACTGAGTGTGGGTGTTGCACACACACATAAGCACGCGCTCCTTCGCGCTTTTAAGAGCAACACGTGTACAACTGGAAAGGTGGCGGTATATGATGCAATAATCCTTTATCTCGATTAATGCTTTTTTATAATCGTTTGAAATCGAAATCGGATTTTCGAATAATTGTACAGCCCTATAAAATAGTGGAGCATTTTTATGCCTTTTTCTACCTCAACCCTTATCCTCTCCCGTGCCCCCCTTGTGAACTCTGGCGCCCCCCTTAGGGAACCACTGAAATAATAGACTAGGCTTATAAGTAAAACAGCTTATTTTTACACTGTTAATTCCCAAAACACTGTTAACTCTTTATGTGAATGTGTTAATTAAAAATATGAAACATTATCTGATTATTTAACTGCAACTCGAAGAGGATATTTTCAATTGCAGGGAGCACAAGAAACATCCTGAATTTTGCCAGAATAGGCAAAAATGTTGACTTTTCTTCAGAAGTATGGTTAAAAGCTGAGAATCATTTTCCTTGTAACCATTGTACATTCTTTTACAGTTTTTTATTGAATTGTTTTGCAATTATTGGGTTTCTTCTTCATGGAAAACATAATAATAAAATAAAGTTTAAAATAAAAAAAATGACAAAAATGACATAAAAGAGAACCGATAAAGTGCCGAACCGATAAGTGGTATCATTAAAAGTAGGCTCTCAACTCCCCCTACAATCGTCAGTGCTACCAAGCTGAACAATCACAGAGCTTGTGCTATGCATTGTTGCGACATGTAGTTACATTTTTTGAGAGGTGCACGTCAGCCGCACCGATGGCCGCGGCGAGGGCTGTGCGTCGATGCGTAGGCTGTGTTGACGCAGAAGTATAAATCAAGGTTTATGCTAACTGGTTAGCATTTAGGCAGATACTGCACTTTTAAAAAGTTAATCAAATAACGCACAGGACTACTACAGTTAGAGGAAAGTTCCCTATATTATAATTCACTTTCCTTTTAATACATTTTGGTGCGACTTAAACCAATTATTAAAAAAATAAAATAAAATAACAGCAATGTTTTGAATGAGAAACTGTAATGTAGTCGTGGGAATTAATTTTGGTGTGGCACTCCAGCATGGCAGAATGAACTTAACGGAAACCATGAAATTTCAACATGACTGATGTTTTCTCTGTCTAAACACAATTATGAATGACATGTATAACAGATATGATTGACATATATAGCAGCATTTTTTCCTCATGTAGCAAACATTTTAAAAAGCTTGAACCACATTTTAAGCCATTTAACTGATCGCTTAAAAACTTAATCATTATTTAGCAGAGCTGGTCTAGAGCGCAGGAAATAGTCAGTGTAAATCAGGGAGCCTGTATATTTTGGTAGCCCGGCTGAAAAAACTAAACTCCTGGATATGTAGGCAAATACCACTCATTATGTTTTAAAGGATGCTTTAATAATTGTGTTTTCAGTCAACTAATAGTTAAAGTGAATGAATAGTTGACCATAAAAATCTTTAGTCGAGCCCAGCCTTGCTATTAAATCATATGTTGTTTCCAGAGATTAGCATTACACTTAAATGTTACATTTCCACAGATCCGTCTCCTGTTCAGCTCATTTTTCAGTTTCTTGAACAAGCCTCCAAACCATCAGTAAATGAACAGAACCAGGTCCAGCCACCAGTGGACAACCGGAGGAACCGGACACTAAAGCTAATGGCACTCAAGGTTGCCGCTCACCTGAGATGGGACCTGAACATGCTAGAAAAAGGGTGAGTGAAAATAAAACATTTGAATTTAATTTTATCTATATCTGACTTTTTTTTTTTTAATCTTTCACTTGGCCTATTTACAGTGTAAAAATGTATGTTATTTAATTGTATTTTATTCAAGTTATTTTATAGCAATCAGGCATAAGAAATAAGGTTTAACTTTTTAAAAAGATTCTTTGTATTAGTTTATCGTTGTAATTTGTTAATGCACATGTCCCTTACAGTTTTGTTCTAAAGTAACAATTACATTCTAAATAGGCGTATTCAAGTCATCTGTTGAAATTGTTTGTACTGCAATATATGTTGTAGAAAACCAAAATATTGTAATGTCAGCCCCAATTGCACCTTGAGTGTAATTTAATGTGCATTTATATAGCGCATATATTGTGTAAGGCTATACACCCAAAGCACTTTACAATCAGCTTCAATGTGTAATCGGTCTTGGGCTGCAGGGGGATGTGGCACAATAGTGACACAAAACCCACTTAGCAAAATTATATAAAGTGAAGTAAAGGCCAAATAGATGAACCCATATTCATAATTTTGTCTCAGTGATTTATCTAATCCAAGTTTTTGCACACACATTTGGTGAAGTGTGTGGACACTCAATAGCTGCATATCCACTGTTAGGCCAGTGCGAGCCAGTACTTTTATCGGTCCAGGCCGGGCCAATCGCCCGGGAGGTTAAGCAGTGAGGCCGAAATGATGTCACTTTCCACTGTCTGGCTAGTAGCTCGCAGTGTGTCAAGCAATCCCTGCCCCCAGAAAGTCTCCTGAATCAAACCTCACACAACCAGCCCAGTTCAGCTGGAATCAGGCAGGCAAATAAAGCACACCATTGCATCATCATGAAATGATTAAAATGAAGACAACCGAAACAAATAAATGACATGCTAGTGTACAGCATTACATTATGTTTATACGCACAGGCCTATGTATTTTCATCATTATATTTTTTTTATTCACCGACTGACTGTTGGCATCGTACACTGAGTGGTCTCCCCACTAACAGAGTGATGACCATGCATAATGTAAAACCACAGAAATTCCCCGGTAAAAACTCGGTATAAAATTATATAACATCCTCGTTTAGATAGACGCCGTCAAACATTCAGCCTAAATGCTGTGAAGAGACCTAAAACATATACATTTTTCCTTAGGATTTATGACACTAGGTAATTCCCTTTATTTAAGAGAATAATTTAAGGATGTTGCATGTTATTCAGTTATCTTAAGTTAAGGAAACCGTTGGGGGCTGGTCCACTATGATTTAGTTGATGTGTAATGTTGCTGTGTTAACATAAACAGCATCTCTGAATGTAAAAAGTTCAATGCAAAGGGAGACCTTGGTTTTTACAGAGTTAGCTTAGCAAAGCCTACAATAAACGAATTTTGGGGAATACAAAAAATACTTCCACCTCATGTGAGATCACAAAGGTTTGTTTACTGAGCACACACACTGCGCAGCTACGGGCCGTGGCCAGATTCGCTGTAGCGTTATGGCAGAGATGGAGCTAAAAATGCGTCCAAACACTGCTGTTTCCAATGAGCTTCGTCTGTTTCTGTATTTGGACTTCCAAAGGACACGACACAAAGACAGAAGTGCTTACAGTTCAATTTTAATTATGTTCCAGAGAATTATTAAATACATAGCAAGAATGATTTGACAAAACAGCTCCAGAAGCTCTCCCAGTGCTGGATTCGGTTAAAATCTCCTCAAAGCAGAAGCTGTGAACTACAACCTGTGTTTTGATGTTAAATTAATCATGACATGCACTGTGCTGCTTTGACCCTCTAACGATTTAGCTACAAATTCTTATTTATCAATCAAACTGCTGTAAACACACACACACACACACACACACACACACACACACACACACACTCCACCAGCGCGTTCGTGTCTGTGTGTGCCCGACTTTGCAGCGTTTCTCTATAGGCAGCTTTTCCGTGCGTTTCACATCCCAGATAATGTCGGAAAAGATATGTGGATGTTTCATATTACTTACACCTGCATATTCTGGATAAATGTGAAAGACGTTAGGGCTGTGCAATTAATCGAAAATCTGATTTCGATTTCTATTATGACTTCTAACGATTATGAAAAACCATTAATCGAGATAAACGATTATTCCATTATTTACCGCCCCCTTTCCAGTTGTCCTCACTTGTTGCTCTTAAAAGCGCAAAAGACCGCATGCTGATGTGCGTGTGTGTGCACGGCGCACAGACACAGTCAGAAGCATGAGGTCAGCACTTGGTCTCATTCGCACATTGCGACGAGCAGAGAGCACACACATCTAAAGTCATTAACGTGAGCGCTTTAATTTTCAAATAGGTGTCAAAATGCAGTGTTTAGTGATTATTCATATTAACCCTCATTTGTGCAATAAACAAACAAGTTGAAAATCAAAAGACGCATGAAAGCGAAACCATTAAAGTGACAGTGCACAATAGCTGCCGCCTGTTTTAACATGATTAATAAAACAACGAGAAAATTCCTCTCTTCTCTTGACAGAAGGACTTTTGTAGCTGAAGTTTTTTTCTTACAGTGAAGATGCTTAAAGCAGTTTGTTTCATATTTTTATTTTATTGTATTTATTTCTCTTTCCTTTGCAGGGAGAAAAATAATATATGCAGTTGAAGTCAGAATTATTAGCCCTCCTGAATATTAGCAACCCTTTTCCTCCCCAATTTGTGTTTAATAGAAAGAAGTTATTTTTTTCAACACATTTCTAAACATAATAGTTTTAATAACTCATTTCTAATAACCGATTAATTCTTATCTTTGCTATGATGACAGTACATTATATTTTAGTAGATATTTTTTTAAATACAAACATTTAAATTCATAGTGTGATTCAAAGGCTTAATTAGGGTAATTAGGCAAGTCATTGTATAACAGTAGTTTCTTCTGAAAACAATAAAAAATATATGTTGCCTAAAGGGGCTAATAATATTGACCTTAAAAGAAGTTTCAAAATATTTAAATCTGCTTTTACTCTAGCCAAAACAAAACAAATAAGCCTTTCATTAGAGCAAATACTGTTAAAATTCTTTGCTCTGTTAAACATAATTTTGGAAATATTTATATTTAAAAAAAATTCTCAGGAGCGCTAATAATTTTGACTTCAACTAATAATCGTTTGTAATATTCATGATTACAATTATGACCAAAATAATCGTGATTATGATTTTTACCAAAATCGAGCAGCCCTAAAAGACGTTGTGTAACGCGTTGAGTTAAAAAAAATACAGGATAGTTCACCTAACTTGTGGTAGCAGCAGAAAAATAAATTAAGGCTCACACAGGTCACGTCCCACATCTTGTGCTTTGTTCTTCTGTCACAATATATTACAGAAAATAACTTAATCCGAGCATCAGAGAAATCGAAAAAAAAAAACTCCTGTGCACATGCGCAAAATATAGACTAAATTTTTCTAGTCATATAAAAACAAACACTTGAGAACATTTTTTTATGGCAGTTTTTTCCATTGTGTTTATAAAGCAGCACTGCGCAGGACTGGATGGCAGAAAAGAAGGTAGTTTCTGGTTTCACTCACCAAAATAATGCTCTGTTTGCACGATTTGATTAAAATCATTGTATAACCAAATACTTTATAAATAATTGTTCAAAACTCCTCCGTTGTGTATTTTTTTTGGAAAAAAGCTTAAATCTTTGTAAAAGATAAAAGTTACTAAATTAAATTAAAATTACTTGAAATGGTTTAATTTATTTGTATTGTATATACCTACATTTTTATAGCTTTTGTTTATTTTATATTCCTTTACTTATTAAAAGTGATTTTATTATATCTGATATTTGTAATTCTTTAAATGATTTCAATATAGCTTAGGATATTTTATCTAGATACAACAATATTTTTTTGAGCCCACAAAAGTGGACACATACTTTGTAAAGTTTTATGTCTTTCTGTTGTATTCATATTTTGTATTCTCTTCGAAAGAAAGAAAGAAACAAACAAACAAACTCAGTCATGTGCGACATCAACAGAGTTGTTAAGCGAGCACTCTTGCCCGTTCTCACACACATACATACAGGCATCTAAACGCGCACATCATGCACATACCTTTTAAACTTGACAAGAACTCTTGACAACATCAAGGAAGACACAGCAAAGAAATATCACTTATAAATTAAAAATGTATTATTTTCTGCGACATCCTTACATTTAAAAGAAAAACATAAGGGCGATCTTAAGCAAAAGACCCCTAGTCTATAAGGTGTTTAATGGAATAGCCTATCTCAGTGGTTCTCAAACTTTATTCACCTAGTACCACCTCAGAAAAAATTGTCTCTCCAAATACCACCATAATGACTGGTATTGGAATACATAGTAGGCCCAATTAAACGGCTACAGCTTACTACAAAACTACAGATTAATTCCTATTATTGTAAATATTTATTATTGTCAGCCACTTTAAACATAATAAATAATTTGAACAATAACACACTTACAGGTAAAAAAAAAAAGATAAATAAAATGTCAACGTTTAAATAATATGTGAATTTAAAAGTTAATTAAAAATGGTACTGTTCTTAAAAAGTTAAAAGAAAACTGCTGTACTTAAGTGTATAGTATTATCATAAAGTAGCCTATTCATCAAAACCTGCAAATGTTTCTTGGACTTCATAAATATAGATTATACTGTATGTCATAATATTTATATACAACTCTTTAATAAATTAAACAACTGTTTAATAAATTTTTAAATATGTTGCATGTATATATGTCTTATTTGTATATCTTTAAAATCTAAACGCTAACTTGTATTTGAAATATATGAATTGGATTTACATATTTAAATTAAAAAGTAGATCTGCTTACTGCTCCTTAGAGTTGGCTATGTGTGTCAGAGAAGCAAGTGATTAAACTATACCTGTCAACATTGAGATATAAAAATACGAGACATGCCCCCAACAACCATTACAAGTATGTAGAGGAAAATAACCTCAAATGATAGAATACATAAAAAACATTAGAAAAAGGAAAATAAAATGTTTAGCCTATTAAAATCAATTTCCTGATCACATTGTTGTTATTATACGCGTCAAAGAGTTAGAAGTATTCAGCCATTCCTCCATGTACCACTGGAAAGAAGCTTGTGTACCACAGTTTGAGAACCACTGGCCTATCTTAAACTGACCAGCTACATGTTTTCTTTCCCTCATTTATTTATTTGTTTGGTGCATGTACTAATGTGCGATCGGAAAACTAGTGTAATGGCGGCATGCTATCTTTACCAGACTTGGGCAAGTCCGCTTCTTTCACTCTGCCCTAAAGCCCCAGCTGGCCCTCTTTGGTCTAATGCCTCGTTTCCACTGACTGGTACGGTACGGTTCGGGTCGGTACGGGTCACCTTTATGAGGCTTGCGTTTCCACCACAAAGGGTACCCTTTTGGTGGTCGTGGTGTACGACATAAAGTTTAAGTCGACGTCATGCTCGCTCTAATAAATGTCTACAGTAAAGCTGTACGGGTCGTTCACATATAATGAGCAGCACTTCTCACAAAACAGATGCTTTATACAGCTAAAAGTACTTGTTTATAAATGTTTATTACTAACTTTTGTATGAACATGATTTGATTACTGCAGATCAATGACATGGCGAAATAGGCTACTGTAACGTGACGTCTGCAATTATATAAAATAAATAAATAAATGCAACGTATATGAACACATACAGCCTCTTACAGTCTCCGATATATTATTAATTACAGAAAAATTACACAAACATGTAGTACTTATTTGAGTTCAAAAACACACGCATAAGAGCCCACAGTCAGCGCAAACCTCTCATCTGTGTCTGTAATCTTCAGCAGCACATGTAAGCTCTGTTAGAGAGTAATTTTGTCACTCGCATTTCATAACAATCCAAAAGACAAATATAAACATGGCAGTTTGTTCATGATTTAGGTTGCTAAAACAATTTTGCTCCTGTGTTTTGACGGCTTCTCTTTTTTTTCTCCGCGCTTCACTCTCGTGCTTGTCCTTTTTTTCTGAATGGATCAGATGATGGAGACACTTTAACAATCGCACTCATGTTATTATCATCAGCTCAAGAAGTTTGTTAACCTGTAATTATCAAATATAGACGCGGTCGCAGGCTCCCGGTAGAAAACGAATACTTTTAGAATACTTTTACTCGCACTTTTAGACAGGCTCGTAAAACAACAACAGGACACAGCAGATTTTTCTTCTTGGCTTTGTGTCTGTTCATCGAGACGACATTAAGGTTTGTTTGAGCCCGGGTCATGCATGTAGTATTTTCATGTAATGTCTCGGCTTTGTATTAAAAAAACATGGTGGTTCCTTCGTTCACGTTCTGTGTAGCTCCACGAGCTTGTGACAAATCTCTGTAACAATCAGCGTTCAGCTGCACGTGTAGCTCCACCTTTTGGTACCCTTTCTCCTATTTGGTACCCTTTCGAAAAGGTGCCGAAAAAGTGGTAAGATTCGGTACGCTTTTTGACAGTGGAAACGGCCATAAAAGAGTACCAAACTGAACCGTACCACTCAGTGGACACGTGCCAAAAGTTTTTTGGCGGGGTGAGATAGGCCAGCTGCTGGCCCCGTGCAAGCCTCACTTTGGCCTGATCAGGCCCCGGAAGTAACAGTGGAAACGTGACTGGCCCTGGCTCGTTCGCTTTAGGCGTGATAGTGGAAACGCAACTAATATTGTCTGATCAATTTAACTAATCCAAATATATACACATAAAATAGATGCAACTAGGAATGTGGGTTTTGGGGGTAAGAGAGGTTGTGTGTTAATTTTACTCCCTATTTACAACTTTTACCAGTACTTAAAATCGAACCTGCAACCTTGTGGATTACAGTTCACTAATTGGTAGTCCAGTAGCTGCTCCACACATTTAGAACAGCCGGAGTTTCTATGGCAAAGCAAATAAGACTTTGTTATTTGAGAAATAGGGTTGTCCAAATTAACTTGAGGCCAATTCACACTGCATTGACTGGATTTTTCATTGTGTGACGTCTCGAAAAGGTTCAAGTGGCCATGTTGTAGGGCTGCACAATTAATTGAATTTCTTGTTTTGATCATGATTACAAATGCCATGATTACATAATTGTTGAAAGCCGCAGTTACAAAAAATGTAATTATCCATGCATAAGGAAAGCGTTTAGAGCTTGTCACGTTCCCCTGTCATTATATAAGGCCTTATGTTATTTACACGATTTCTGTCTCTACTCTGTTGTATTTCCATGCTCTCTGTTGCATAGATCTCTGCGTGTTATGTGCTAAAATGCATATATGTGTTTGCCTAGACTACAGGGTTAATCTGGTTATTTAATTAATTTGTCTTTCTCTTTTTGCAGTGTGAATTGGCTTTGTCACTGTTTATGATGTAGACCACAGGTGTCAAACTCAGTTCCAAAAGGGCCGCAGCTCTGCATAGTTTAGTTCCAACCCTAATTAAACACACCTGATCAAACTAATTAAGTCCTTCAGGCTTGTTTGAAACCTACAGGTAAGTGTGTTGGTGCAGGGTTGGAACTAAACTGTGCAGGGCTTCGGCCCTCCAGGAATTGAGTTTGACACCCCTGATGTAGACTGTCAAGTCATTATAGCCTACATGAATTCTTGTCATGTGAAAGTTCTTTTTGTCTTTCTGTTTGTATTGCAGTTTAACCATCCCTGTGCTCAATATGTTATTGAATGAACTTCTCTGTGTCAGCCATGTTCCTCCTGGAGTTAAACATGTAGATCTGGACTTGTCTTCACTGCCACCCACCACAGCTATGGCTGTGGTCTTCTACAACAGATGGTTGGTGTAGCACTATATATATGTATTTTTTGTATATGTATAGGGCTGGGTGATAATTTTCACTATATATAATTTTTCGATAAAACGACAATGACAGTTCGATAATTGCTCGATAATATTTACGCACTATGTTCACAGTGTTAGTTGCACTTGAGGGAGTAAGAAAAAATAAAGTAAAAAAGGTCACAATCACAAACATTGTTGACAAGAAACATCACTAGACTTGAGTAGTCTTGAACTACATAGCTTTTTATAATTCGACACAAAACAGAGCAACGCGCACTAGGGCTGTGCAATTAATTGATAATCTGATTTCGATTTTGATTTTGGCTTCTAACGATTATGGAAAACCATTAATCGAGATAAACAATAATTGCATCATATACCGCCCCCTTTCCAGTTGTACACAATGTTGCTCTTAAAAGCGCAAAAGACCACATGCTTGTCACTGTGTGTGTGGCGCGCACACACTGTGAAAAGCATGCAGTCAGCATTCTGTTTGATTCGCACACTGAGACGAGCCGAGCACACACACATCTAAAATCATCTTAACGTAATTGCTTTAATGGTCAAGTAGGTGTCAAAATGCAGTGTTTAGTGATTATTCATATTAAACCTCATTTGTGTAATAAACAAACAAGTTGAGAATCAAAACAAAAGTGAAAGAGAAACCATTAAAGCAACAGCGCGCAATATCCCTGCTGCCGCCTGTTTTTACCATTAATCAAACAACAAAAGGACAAAATCCCTCACTGCTCTTGACTGAAGTCTCAACTTATTTCTGAACATAATAGTTTTAATAACTTAATTCTAATACCTGATTTTTTTATCTTGCTATGAAAACAGTACATAATATTTTACTTGATATTTTTCAAAATACTAGCATTCAGATTCAAAGGCTTAATTAGGTTAATTAGGCAAGTTATTGTATAACAGTATTTTTTTTTCTGCAGACAATCAAACATATATGGCTTAAGGGGGCTAATAATATTGACCTTAAAATGGGTTTCAAAATATTCAAACCTGCTTTTATTCTAGCCAAAATAAAACAAATCTGACTTTCTCCAGTAGAAAAAAATATTAGAGGAAATACTGTTAAAATTCCTTGCTTTGTTAAACATCATTTGGAAAATATTAATTAAAAAAAAATTCTCAGAAGCGCTAATAATTTTGACTTCAACTGATAATCATTTTGAATAATCGTGATTACAATTATGACCAAAAGAATCGTGATTAAGGTTTTTTCCAAAATCAAGTAGCCCTAACGTGCACTCAAACTGTGCATATGACTCGTGTCATCAAAAGCAGGCAACACCAATAACCAGTTTCATCGTTTAAAACAGTAGCACCGTTATGAACATGCTAAGAAATTACAGACCCAAAAAAGTGTTGTTAAATCAGTGCAACTACCCAGCAGAATTTCATGTCATCATTTTCAAAAGCTGTGCCTTACGAGAAAAAACCCCCAAAGACAGAAGATATGACAGACAACACAATCTCAATGAACATTTAATGCTTGCTGTATACTACAGGCTGCATTATTTAAGGGCATTTTTTACGACATTGATAGGATCTTTTGTTGTCAAGCTTATGTTTCCTTTTTATTATTAAGATATTTGTTTTGAAATCTGTATTGTCTCTCATCGACGGTAAAACAACCAGCCTTTATAAATTTAATGGACATAATCACTGAAAAAAAATTAGATGCTCAAGACAAAATCTTTAAAATAATGTCATAGTAAAAATGCAGCAAATATATGACAGATGTTTACAACAACAGTGGATCATTAATTAAATCCCTATTTTCCACTGAGCAAAGCATCAATCACCTGCAGTGGTTTAAGATGGGCACGAACAAAAAATCTAAATGTATATCTTTGACAATTTATCTTTTTGCAAATAGTCCAAAAAGCGATGATAATAATTAAACATGGCAGTTTGTTCATGTTTTAGGTTGCAGAAGCATCATTTGCTGCTGTTTTTTCCAGCTTCTCCTTTTCGCACTTCACTCTCGCGTTTGACTCGGATAATAATAGGGATCCCTTCAATGATCACGAGCACATTATTAATATTAGCTCAAGAAGTTTGTTATTTCAAATATAGACCCGATCGCAAGCTCTCTGGGCAAAGTGTAACCGCTCGCACTTTTAGACAGACTTGTATAACAACAACAACAGGACACAGCAGATTCTTTTTGGTTTTGGCTTTGTGGTTGTACATCATGACAACTACAAGGTTTGTTTGAGGTCAAGTCGACCATGGCTTCTTATTGTATGTATATTTTATTACGGTTTAATGTCTCGGATGGGTTTTTAAAAATGGCGCTTCTTTTGTTTTCACTTTGTTCTACGAGTGATGCTTTTCTGTAAACCAATAGTGTTCAGTGTACCCTTTGGGCCGGCTGGTACCCTTTGCAAAGGGTGACCAAAAAGTCGTACGGTTCGCTTTTAGGTATTCTTTGACAGTGGAAACAGCCATAAAAGTGTACTGTACCACTTAATGGAAACAGGCCTTTTCTTTTAAATTTTGTGACGTTCAAATAGGACCCAAATCCCTCCCATTTTGAGGCTCAACATGATGTAGGCGTGTGGTTTCCCCGCCCACCAAATTGATAGACAGACAGATATTAACATGTCTTAGTAACGCTTATAATCGTATCAACAAGACAGGATGTGCACATAGCATTTGGGATTGAAAGATCTGTTCTGTTTATTATGATCATCAATCATTATCAGATGTGATCAAAAAGTGTTTTTTTTTTTTTTTTAAAGAGGGCATGTTTATAATGAATTGCAGATTTACTCCAGCTTTACTTTTATCACCACAGCTGGATGACAGTACAATTTTAAAAATGCAGAAAAGAGTTTAGTTTTTCAAAGAATTACCTTCACGATTCCCAGAGCTGTCCAAAATATTAATTCGCTTAATGTGCCTTTTGGGGTGCACATATCTATGTGAAAAACTTTTCTCAACGGTGAACTTCAATAAATGCAGGTTTAGGTCCAGGCTTAACAATGTTCATCTTAAAGCTGTAACCAGGGTTTCTACTGCAAACTCCAACATGGCATATGCGACTCAATTGTGTGACCAGAAGCGCTACATAACTTCTGGCAAGAAGTACAATAGTTTGGAAATGTATTCAGTGATTACAATCGTTAATTGTAAAGTTTAGCACCGATTTGATAAGTTACTTGGGTTTAAATAAAAAGGTAACTTAAAAATAAAAAAAACTATATCTCATAATGCAGACAAAAAATGTGGGCCAACTTCTCAGTCATTAAAGTTAATTTCTAGAAATTCTGCACTTTTATCTCGTGCTTGAATGTTAAAATAGCAGTCACTGCAATGGCCCCAAGACAGTTTGAGTTTAACGCCTGTTTCACACCGCAAGCGTCAGCGGCGCATGAGCAGAGCGTGAGCAGCGCGTATGTCGAGCAGTAGCAGCACGCAGGCGTTTGCCTTTCACACCAGCTGCGTCTGCAGCGCACAGCTCTTCGGCAGCTGCTGCTGAGATCAACCTATCTCTGTCTATTCTATCTAGTTACCCATGTCTCTCTATATACAAATACACTTTTTAAACTTTTCATCTGCACCAAGGCCCCTCCTATGCTGTTTCATTAACCTGCAAATGTTTATTTTACAAATTTTATAGATCAAATAGTACTGTATGCTTCTAAAGCTAACTTATATGAGAAGTGTCTACAGTCAGAAGACAATCGCCTGTGATATCATGTCATTTGTTTTTTGATTATCAGGTTGCTGTAGACCTAGTTATAATCATATTTATACAATATAGTTATAATGATATTTATACATGATCAAACTAGTGTTACTTTCTCCGCTTCAATGATGTCCAGCGGCAGAATAACAGCTCGTTAATTCATGCTTGTGCAGATGATGAGACGGACAAAAGTAATTAATGCATGCCATTCTTTTACTTATTTTCGTGTTGTCAGATTCACAGTGCAAACAGCTCCCGGTAGGAATAATTCGAGTGAACATAAAACAAAGCCGATTAAAACTTTCTTCCTCTGCTCAGCTGCACAGAACACAGCGAGCTCACATAATCCAGCATGCGTGTCGCACTACACTACCCACAATACACTTCGCTATGGACTACAAATCCCGTAAATATTCCATTTCCCCTCTCCTACAACACTAGTGTGCAACTTAAGCAAAACTGATAGTAAAACTGTTTTACATTCGGTTTTGTAGTTCGGGCCTAAATAAATGTTTGTTGCCGTTTTTAATCGTTTTAAGTTCATTTGAATGACTATATATAAAACATTTGACATTATTAATGCATTTATTAAGTAAAATTGCTACTTTTTACTGTCATTCAATGTGTTTTGGTCATTATCAATGCACTGTCACTTTAATTGAGCGTGAGCAGCGCGTCAAAAATAGACCCAGCGCCGAAACTATCGCTGCACTGCTGCTTCGGCGACGCTCACGCCTCGCACTGACGCGCTGCTGCTGCGTACGGTATGAAAGCTCTAATCTGTTAACATGGACGCCGAAAACACACGCGCTGCTCACGCTCTGCTCACGCGCCGCTGACGCTTGCGGTGTGAAACAGGCGTAAGACCCATGGCCTACATTATATTGATTTCTGACTTCACATTTCTCATTTAATGAAGTCAAATTGTGCCATTTAGTTTGGGTCTGACAATCCAAATGAGTGGGTCATTTCTTTATGGAGAGTTCTAATAAAGAAGGGAGTGACCTGAAAAAAATTTGACAGTAAACCCTCAATCTTATACTATGACATTTGGTTGTTGTGTTTGACATTTATAATTTTAACTTTGTCTTAACAGGGCTATTCGTACAATTGTTTTGAGCAGTTTCCCTGAGAAACAGACCAAGCCTGGACCACACCAGCTGAATATGTAAGCAAGGAATTATGTGGCATCCATTGTTTTGTCTTGTGTGCTGTTGTTGCTGTGCTAATAATATTTTGTGGTTCCTGTAGGATGAATATGCTCCAGCAGGAAAAGGAACACACAGAAAACATACTGAGTGTGGTAATACTGAAACTTTCTTTTAGCATATTAAAGTATATATATATATATATATATATATATATATATATATATATATATATATATATATATATATATAATTTTTTTTTTTTTTTTTTTTTTGAGGTCAAAAAGAAGTAGTGTTGTCCTTCATTGATTAAACTTTGCCAGTCTGATGTCACTGTTCAAAATGCTATTATCATCTCAGAGAAAACTCATGTTTTTTGGTGTATCCCTCAGCTCAGAGAACAGGCTACAGACTCTATCGTGGTTTTAGAAGGAGCCCTGAGCATCAAAAAAGACTTCTATATCCACACACTTCGAACCTTAGACTTGCTAGCTGCAGATCCCAGTACAACCAATGGGGAGACAGAGTACTCCACTGCAGGATTGCGTATCAGCTTTGATCACCTCCACTGTCAGGTGTCTTGCAAAGAAAAAGAAATTAACTAGTTAACTCTTTTCTTATGTATTCATGAATCGTGAAACATGTTTGTCTTTTTTTCTTATTTCAATCATGTTCATACTGTGACAGGTGCATTACGATTTGGGAGGCATTTATTTTCAGCAAGGTTGTTCTGACACTTCAGTGTATGAGAAAGCAAGAGAACATTTCAGGAAAGCACGCGAACTGCTTACAAAGGTGAGATATGAAATAAATGAAAGTTCAACCAAAAATTGACTCTTCAGCCATGTAATGTTGTCATTACTTTGAGTAATGCTTATCTCTGTTTGGCTATATAAATGCTATGTTTGGAATTTTTCCACTGCACTTTTGAGTGGTTTTCTATTGTGTACAGTACCTACTAACTGTGTTTTTAATGCCTTCTCATTTGAGGTTCCAATCTATTTATACTGATACTAAAATGTTATGTCTAAACAGCAGATAACTGCTGAGACTAGGGTGCCATTTTATATTGCCTAATGATGCCATGGCAATTGAGGTGGTGTAACTATAATGATATTTCTTTAATTCAACCCATTATGAAATAGTACTAAACTGGAAAAGCAAATTGAGCAGAGTATTAAAGCTGCTATTGACTAGTCAGCCTTCTGATATAAACAGACTATTAACTGCTGTTTGTTGACTTACACATTCATTTCAGAAAACTACATTTTTTGTTTGTTTCTGATGGCAGCTAGATTTCTCTGCATCTTTCTGTTGTTTGGATGAGCAAAGGCTGGCTGGATACTGGAGTGCCTGCAGAACTCTGACTGGAACCTCAGACTTGAATGAGAGCCAACACACCCCATATGGCCAGATCAGTTGCTTCATGAGGAACCACAATTATGGGGTAGGCAAGATGTAAGCAAAATGTGTATGTATAGCGAGAATGTAGTTATTTTTAAAGTCAAATCGGTAGTATATGTAGTGTGTCTTTAAAAATTGGCTTCAGCGTTTTCGGACTCTGAGCTCTAGGCAGTCAGCTACAGTTCTATGAACAACACCTTGCAGAGAGAAGCTTTACATTGCCTAGATAGTCTCAGGACCTGCTGCTGAATCTCAGTGCATTCTGGAATACTTGCATCTCTCTGTTTTTGAAATGCGAATTATGAATTATACAATTCATCTTGCGTTTCTTTGGTCTTTTTGCTAGGTCAATTCTATGAGATCAATTTGTCTAGCATAATAATTACACAACTAATTTAATTACTATGGATGTTCAAAAATATTTATTAAACACATTTTATAAAAACAGCATGTTAAAACTAAAGTTTGAAGGCTTAAAAATCAATTAACATTGATTTCATTAGCCGATGCAAAGTATCATTCCTAAAGCATATTTAATTGATAAGGTACTTTTAGTAAGATTTGTATGATTATAATAAATTGTAAATTATGAACATTTTCTTTAGCTCAGCTTTCGCAGTATTTAAGAGCCCCTGTTAAAGGTTTTCAAAAATTACCATCCATGCAGTGTGTAACACAGCTCTAGATGGAAACAATCAGCTTTAAATCTGAAGATTTTTTAAAGAGGTTTTAAACCATATTTAAAACTATCGGCTCTTATGTGTCCATTTGTTGAGTCAAATAAATAACTCGTCCTTTGTTCACATCTTTTGCCTGCATGCATCAACATTGATACTGGACATCACCAAATATAAAGTGCCGGACCCGGTAAAACGTGAACATGCCTTTCCGTTTAAACACAATTGGAGTGTAGGGAATTATGGGATTGATCATGACGCGAAAATTGCGATCACTGACAGATGGCTAGAAATGCGGCTGTGGGCGATAAAGGGTTAAAGTTCTTTTTTTACAAAAATAAAACAATATAGCCAACCATGTGTTGTTTTTTGTTCTTGTAATTTTTCTGATGCAGTAACCCACCCTGCAATGCGGGATTCACCTGTCGTTTGTTATTAAAAGGAGCAGCAAAGACTATTCAATTCAATTCACTTTTATTTGTATAGCGCTTTTACAATGTACATTGTGTCAAAGCAGCTTCACATAAAAGATCATAGTAAATTGAAACAGTGTCAGTTCAATTTTTACAGTTTAAGTTCAGTTTCAAGAGTTCACACTTAGCTGATGATTTACAAAGCTTATTTGGCATGCTGTCCCGGGAGAGAGCCCCGAGCTCAAGGGCTCCTCGAGCCCGGGGCTTCCTCCCGTTGGCAGAGCAAGAAGGGAGCCTGAGCTCGGTGGATCTCAGAACTCCCCTGCCGCTGTAGCTAAGGGAACGTAAGGAATTAGACCAGCTTGATTGTTAAGTATGTTGAATGTCTTTGGATGGTGGGAGGAAACCGGAGAGCCCGGGGAAAACCCACGCGGACACGGGAAGGACATACAAACTCCCCACAGAAACACTCACCGGTCCTATCGAACTAGGACCGGCAGTATTCTTGCTGTGTGGTTCACAGTGCTAACCACTGGACCGCCGTGCCGCCCAATTACGGGTAAAGGAGGAGAATAGGGGAGGAGGGGGGTTTCTTCCAAACGAAGATAAAGTGAACTGAAAACTTAGACTATTTATGGTGCCTTAAGGCTCATATGATTGGAAGATTAGTGATTAGCAAATGCGAGACTGGACGTGATAAATCATAAGCACGTGATCCTCTCGAAATTAGTTTATGAATAAACTTCACTTCAAGAGTTCACACTTAGCTGATGATTTACAAAGCTTATTTGGCATGCTGTCCCGGGAGAGAGCCCCGAGCTCAAGGGCTCCTCGAGCCCGGGGCTTCCTCCCGTTGGCAGAGCAAGAAGGGAGCCTGAGCTCGGTGGATCTCAGAACTCCCCAAAATGCAGAAATTAATCGCTCGGGACAGCAGCCGCGTATTCGAAGAAAAAACCCCCCAAAAGGCAGGAAATTTAGAGCTATATCCGGCTGCTGGATATAATAGAAGGAAAGAGGTTAAATGCATGGGCATTAATTAGATAGGATTAATAAGGGTGAAAAGAGGATTCTAATAACTCTTGCTGGAGTTAGAGTTTGAAGGAACCCCTGCGGGGTTCATGGTTTTCGGGGTTAAGAAGAAGGGGAGAATAGGTGGTTTGAAGCAGTGAAAAGAGAACTTTGAGTGAATCTTGTGGGAGTTGGAGCTCTAAGTGACCCCTGCGGGGGCCAGAGTAGAGTGAAGGTATGGAGCAGAGAGTGGAGGAGAGTAGCTCTTACGAAAGATGGAGCTTTTGTGAGAGTTTGAGTTTAGAGCGGCCTCTGCGGAGGTTAGAACTTGAGGGTAGGGTGTAGATAGGAGTGACCTCTGCGGAGGTTAGAGCTTGAGGGTAGGGTGTAGATAGGAGCGACCTCTGCAGAGGTTTGAGCTTGAAGGTAGGGTGTAGATAGGAGTGACCTCTGCGGAGGTTTGAGCTTGAGGGTAGGGTGTAGATAGGAGCGACCTCTGCGGAGGTTTGAGCTTGAAGGTAGGGTGTAGATAGGAGTGACCTCTGCGGAGGTTTGAGCTTGAGGGTAGGGTGTAGATAGGAGTGACCTCTGCGGAGGTTTGAGCTTGAGGGTAGGGTGTAGATAGGAGTGACCTCTGCGGAGGTTTGAGCTTGAGGGTAGGGTGTAGATAGGAGCGACCTCTGCGGAGGTTTGAGCTTGAAGGTAGGGTGTAGATAGGAGTGACCTCTGCGGAGGTTTGAGCTTGAGGGTAGGGTGTAGATAGGAGTGACCTCTGCGGAGGTTTGAGCTTGAGGGTAGAGTGTAGCTGGGAGGAGCAATGAGTGGGAGGGAGTAACTCTTGTGAGAGTTTGAGTTTAGAGCGGCCTCTGCGGAGGTTAGAGCTTGAGGGTAGAGTGTAGCTGGGAGGAGCAATGAGTAGGAGAGAGTAACTCTTGTGAGAGTTTGAGTTTAGAGCGGCCTCTGCGGAGGTTAGAGCTTGAGGGTAGGGTGTAGATAGGAGCGACCTCTGCGGAGGTTTGAGCTTGAGGGTAGTGTAGATAGGGGCAACCTCTGCGGAGGTCATGGCTTGGAGGTAGCGTGTAGATGGGAGGAGCAGAAAGTGGGAGGGAGTAACTCATGTGAGAGTTTGAGTTTGGAGCGACCTCTGCGGAGGTTAGAGCTTGAGGGTAGGGTGTAGATAGGAAAACATAGATATCTGTGAGTGGGAGAGAGGATTTGTATAACTCTTGCGAGATTTGGAGCTCGGAGCGACCTCGTGGAAGTCCGAGTTTGTATAACAAATTGAGGTTGCTGGAATGCTAACTGTAATGGCCATTGGGGGCGTCCTTGGCAAAAACCTGTAGGGGTGCCATTGTTGGACGATTAGGCTTCTGCTGAGTTTGGTTAGGATGACTCTAGCGAGAGTTGAGGCTCTATTAGGTACCTTTGTGAGTTGGAGCCTTGTGGGGAGTTGCTTGGGGGTTGGTTAGAGCCTGTTGTGCTTCTTTGAGGTGGTATTTACTGAGGCGTATGTAAGATTTAAAAGCTTCAGAAGACCAGCGACCAAGGGTCTGGATCTGATTGTGTGAGAGCCCGTTAGAGGCTGCTGTAGTGGCTGCGCCAATCCTGAATGAGTGGCTGGAAAAAGGCTCTGGGGAAAAACCTGATAGGCGAAGAATTTCTTTAAGGTGTTTTTGGAACCAGAATCGAGATACTGGACGGTTAGCGTCGTCAGTAAAAAGCGGGGCCGTAGGGTTAGCTTCTTGAGATTTTCTTAGATTAAGATAGGCTAGGAGGGTTTGGAATGGGCGAGTAGGAGAAGGTATGTCGAAAATGAGGATAGAGTGTCCTTTCTGGGTTTGATCTGTTTTGCTTTGTTTGATAAGGAAAGAGATGGTTTACTTATCTTGCAAAGCTAGATCTGAGATGGTGGGGTGGAGTAGAGGGTTAAATTTAGATGTAACTGTTAATTCGGAACATCTAAGAAACCCAAAAAATCCTAGATTAAACATAGCATCTAAGGTGCGGGCTGTATGGGAGGAAATATACCCTTTGCGAAGGGTGTAGATGCATGAGGTAAGGATTTTTAGTGTGATGGGTTGTCTGGCATCAGGGCTGGTGGGGTGGTTTTTCTGAATACCCTTGATAAGAAGGGAGGTTTGCGAATTTGTGATGGCGTCGGAAGGAGACCCATGGATTAATTTGTGAAAGAACTGGATCCCGCTAAGGTAGCTCTTTATTGAACTGGCTTGTAGGTGATTTGCGGTGTGAAGGTGGGATATAAAGGAAGTGATAGAGAGGAGAGAAAAATCAGGGAAAGGAAGTTGGTGTAGAATATGGAATTGTTTGAACGAATTCCATGCTGTGAGGTATGCATTGAGGGTTCTAGGAGCTATTGCTTGCAGGATGAGAGATAGAGAAGTTTGGTGAAGATTATGAAGTGGGTGGTTTATGGCAATATCGTTTCTGAATACGGAGGTACAGGCGTTGGCTGAGGGTCTGCTTCTGGGGCCAGTTGCCAGAATTTCTGTAGAGAGAAGCGAGAGAGAGAGTCAGCAATTTGGTTTTTGCAACCAGGTACATGTTCAGCAATCATGATAAATTGTTTTTTAGCAGATATCCAGATAAGGCGTCTTAAAAATGGCATAAGTGCTTGGGAGTGGGAGCGCCTTTTGTTGATGCAATGCACTGTGGCTTCATTATCGCAGTGAATGAGAATGCTAAAAGTAGACCATTCGTCCCCCCACAAGATGGCTGCTGCGACAATGGGGTAGAGTTCGAATAGGGCTGAAGAACATTGGTCTTTTGGAATGGAATTGAATTGGGGTGGCCATGTTGAGGAAAACCAGTGTCCTTTGTAGTAGCCGCCGAAACCAATAGAGGGGGCAGCGTATGTGTATAGGTTAATGTCGATGGGGGAAGTTGTTAAGTCGCTATAGAAAAAGGAACAGCCGTTCCATTGCTTA